GCTACTACCCTACAAGCCTCATTTCTTTACCTAAAAGTTTCATGAAATAAAAAGCATTGAGTGACTTACCCAGGCATGCTACAGTTCCCTTCAACCATTAAGATAGCAGCATAAATGGCTACCTTACTTTAAAAATGGGAATTTCTAGTGATTTTATACCAAAAAATATTAGGCAAAAAGAAAGTAAACCAAAAAAGTAAGTAACAATGAATCGAAATGAGATTCTACATTTTAGCCACAAACTCTTTCTTCTTCAATTCTTACATTATTTTCCCAGTCTCTCCAGGCTCCGAATCTTGGATTCATCCTCATTTTAGCCTCAAATTTCTTGTCTTATTTCTGGTCATCCTCCATATGTTGCCCTTTTTTTTCTCAGTTAAGGTCCTACTAATCATCACTGCTAGCCCTCTCATTCAGGAGTTTGTGTACTGATGACTGTGTTTTCTTACCACCTCCTAACTGGCTCTCTGCAAGTTCTCTTATTCTCAATTTACTGCAACTACATTAATATCTTTCACATGCCAACTTCACTCCTAGCTCAAGTGCATGCAGTGGCTCCCTCCTGCCTACTGGATCATATACACATTCCTGTACTGTGTGTTTGAGGTCCCCATTTAATGACCCTGGGTCATCTCTCAATGGAGAAGTCACGCAGTCCAGAGAAAAGAGCCCAGCTTTTATGTAGGAGATTACCAGTTTTAATCCCTGCTCCAGCATTTACTTCTTATGAGCCACTAAACAAGTTCTTTCAATTCCCTGAGCTTCAGTAAACCATTTGAAAAATGAGAATAATAAAATTTATCTTGCTCAGTTATTATGAGAATTCAATAGAATGCCTAAAATAGCAGGTTGGTACAGCTCGTTTACATTTTTATTCCTTTGTCCATGTTAGTCCTTGGACTAGAATGCCCATCCCAGGTGCTCTACTCCTCACACTCTTAATAAGATATCTGCAACACTGGAATAGCTATGTGGGACCTATATGATATCACAGGACCTTGCACTTTTTCCTGTATCTTTCTTTAAAAAAAGAAGTGGGATTCCCATTCCTGGAAATTTACTTCCTGCAAAAAATGGTTCCAATTCACAATTTCATTTCTCAAAATTCCCATGGGCAATGTAAATGCTCATGATTCCTAATGCTCACTTATTTGTGAAATCAACAAATTTTAATCGAGTACCTATTAAATGAGAGGCACTGAGTAAGACTCTAAAGATATATTCATCATCTTGCCCTACAGAGATTACTATTAATTATGGGAAACAGTATGCCTGACAAACAGAAAAGGAAGATGATGATGATGATGATGATGATGATGATGATGATGATGATGAAGATATAAGATGTTCAGGCAATCAGAGATTACTATTAATTATGGGAAACAGTATGCCTGACAAACAGAAAAGGAAGATTGATGATGATGATGATGATGATGATGATGATGATGATGATGATGATGATGAAGATATAAGATGTTCAGGCAACAGAGAGGTGGCTAAGTTTAAGGCCCCAGATAGGCCCACACCAAAGAAGGGTAATTTGGCTTTCAGAAAGCCAAAAACTAAAATTTTTCTTCTTATTATTATTACAAGGAATAAGCTTGATGGAATTAGATGAGAGCAAGGCTTCAAGACATGGAAATAAAGGTTTCTGAGCAGAGAAACAGTGTGTGCAAAGGCTCAGGGAGAGCAGGCACATGTCTCAGCACAAAACCAGAAGTTCCATAACACAGCTTGGGGTGGAGAGTGTGGGACAGAGGAAAGGTACCAGCTAAAGCAATTCCTATGAGCCATAAAGTAAACTTGTACTTCATCCTAAGGAAAATAAGGATGTGGGTTTTAATCCTAAGATTTCACCCATCTGGGATTTGTATAGCCATAACATTCCCATATGGTCTTGAAAGATCTGATGGTGGTGTGTGATCTTGTGTGCTTTGTCACTTTCTAAGTATATAAAATATGACATGAAAAATGGCAGATGACCTTTCTCAAGGAAGTCTGGGAAGTGCAGTTAGAAACCGAGACGTGAAAAAAAGAAGAAAATGAGGTGCATTGTGCATTGATTACTGAATAACAATGACAGCAAAAGACCTAGAAGAAGGTAGAGGATGGTATAGCCTCCTCTGAAGCAATAAGGACAAGCAAAGAAACCCAGTGGGATCACTTGTAACTTCACAGCAGAACTGTTTCTTTTAAAGAGCTGTTCTCTCCAAACTTTACTGGCAGAAGACAGTGGGTTTATTGGTTCACTCATCCTGGTCCCCACATGAATTCACGTTGGTATGGGGCAATACCATGGATTTAGGAATCAAAGGAGTCCAAGTGGGAAGCTTTCTTACACTTATGACATGTAGGTCTTGGGGCAATTTACACCATCTCTCTGAGTCTGTCTTTCCAGCTGCCAAATGTGGCAATTATTTCTACCTCTGAGGGTGATTCTGAGGTGTCAGCAAGAAAGCCTCTGAAAGGTACCCACAAAAGCTCTTGCAGGAATAGTAGAACTTCTCGATACCAGACATTCTCTGAGAGGTGGTGTTACTCCTCGGCATCCAGCTAAGTTAAAAACTGCAAGGCTTGCCCTCACACACAATAGGGAATGCAGGCAGCAAAATTAGACATCTGCTCGTTAGGCACGGGTGCCTTAGGAGCAACTGTGTCAAATCTGAATTCTCTACGTGACATAAAGTAAATAAATGTTTTGGCTTGAGGGTGTGTGCATGGCTCTTCTTTCACAATTGATATTCACACAAATAGAGGAAATATGACTGCTAATTAAGTACTCATTGGGGCCTTTTTTCCCCACAACAAATATATAATTAAAATGCCAGGGTATGCATTGTGTGTGTGTGTGTGTGTGTGTGTGTGAGAGAGAGAGAGAGAGAGAGAGAGAGAGACAGAGACAGAGACAGAGAGAGGTTAGGGTGAGACAAAGACTGTCTCTATGGAAGGGTCCTTCCATGGTAAGCTATAATTCATTACTTCCCTAGCCACAAAAAAAGGAAACTTATTCCCAAAATAAAGTCACTAATCTAACTGTATTCATGCATCAAACTAGTGCTTCCTACATTTGCATGATACAAGTCAGGCTGGGGCCTGCCTGTGTCTGAGGCTCTGTCCTTTCCCTCTGCCTAGTCTCTCAATGTGCGCTGCGCTGAGGAAACAGCGAAGGCCTGATGCCTGAAGGTAGCTCTATGAGAAGCAGAGGCCAAACAAGCTGATGGCTCCACATGAGCCACATCTGTAACCATGTAGGTTCGGAACGGCTTCCTTTAAATTCTAAGACAGTGACAGTACTCAGAAATATGTGCTGAATAATCTGATAAGGCTAGTTTTGTGCTAAATCCAAGCTTTATTACTTCCCACACAGGTGCCATGCTCCATCAGCACCCAATTTATCCAACAGCCTCAAGAAATTCCCCAAAGTAAGTCCGCTTATGGTGCAGGTGACAAGCACATGCCGTAATTACTCAAAAGCCTGAACCTAAATAATAAAAAATTAGAAAGAAAAATTTATATTAACTTTAAACCTCCCTATAATAGAAGATACGATCTTAGTCTCGGGTAGCTTTAGCCTGGGCAGAACTATTCTGTGGGAGACAAGATGAAGATATAGCCAGAAGAAAAAATAAAAGGAAGGAAGAGAAAATAGTGGAAGATTGCTCATTCTGCAAGGTGACACCTTCCACTGAAGCCCTAAATTTTTGATAAAGTTGTTAAAACTCATGAAATCCTTCAAAATATGTATGTTTGTGGAACTCTAGAGAAGTTTGTGCCATGTTGTGCAAGGGGTGAAACCTTTAGGAACAGGGGTGCAGAGAGGAGTTCCAGGGAAGTGTACTTATTCGAAGGAACTGGGATTGGATTTGAGTACAGTTTAAGCAAATCTTTAATGTAATCAGGGTAATGCAGTTTTTTATTTAGTCGTGTGTTTTTGTTTGTAAAGCATTTTGACTAGTAGCCTGTAAAAGCAAATTCATCAACTAAAAAGTTCACTCCCAAATAATATGAAGCTCTTTCTTTCACATTAATAAAGTTACATGTTCTCTAGCACTGTTGCCGGAGTGACGGGCATGCACGAGTCATTTACAAAGAATGGTGTCATATAACTCTAGTTGCTCTGGCTTATAAGCAATTCTTAAGTACTTTTCCCTTAAAGAATTAGAGGCTCTTCATCACTGATCTTCCCTATTTCACAAAGAGGCCGGAGCCCTCCCAAGACCAACTGTGGAAGACTACTGATTCAATAGTCAACAACAGCATCATTTGAAAATGTTTCCAGCCATGGAAGATCAGCACACTAACAATCACTTTCTCTCCAGTTCTTTTCAACAGAAAACTAGTCTGTGAAGCAGGCCACAACAGTGTAGGTCCATTAAAGCATAAATTAGGCAACTATCGTACTGAGTGTCGTTCATGCATCAATGGTTTAATGTCATCATTGAAAAAAGCAACTCCCCACACCAGCACAAAGCTGGCACACAGGTTAGCAATTCCAAACCAGCCCACCCAACAGAGAAAGCCAGAGGAAAGAGGGGGACGAAGGTAGCAAAGGAAAAACGAAAATAGCTTCTCAGGACTGAATCCATTCATACCTTTAACAGATGGAGAAGCTGAGCCTCTTTTGAGTAGAGAGATTAGCAACATAAATTTACCATATTAATTGATGTCCACATAAATCTTGAAATTATTTGAATCTTTCTTGTGGAACAGTAACAGTAATAGAACCTGAAAGCCTCCACTAGCAAAGATATAAATTTGGGACTCGCCCCTTCCTTTCTCCTGACCAGAGTCGTCAAGCAGGATGGCTGCCTGCTCCATAATATACAACAGAGTGACCTACATTTCTACTGGAACAGAAATGGTTTCTAGAACTTTCTTGTGTGTGCTCTGTCCCAAGTCTCAGAAATCAAAATGAACTTTGGCAGAAGTGTCACCTGATCAAGATCTTTCACCCACCCTTTGGTGGAGAGGCTGGAACGGGAGGAAGAAGACAGACTCACCATCTGATTGTTGTACCAGTACAGCGACGACCCCTTGAGCACCACCCAGAACTTTTTCCATTTGTTGCTTAGGAAAGTTCCCTTTTCCTTTTTCTTAAACAGCCACCCTTGACAGTCAGCATGTCCCAGATCTTTACACGATATCCTCCTCCGACTCATCGTGAAAAGACCTGCAGCAATTATACAAAGAGGTGTTTACCTTGATTTATGTGGCAAAGTGAAAGGCATCTTTCGTTGTATTTTTCACCCCAAACAAAGCAAAATAATTTCATGTATCTGTTTTACTTTTTTAAACGTTTACTCTGTGCTTAGAAGGTATAGGATATGGGTAAAGAAGCAGTGAGCCTAATATGCAAGTATTAGTTAAAAAAATTAAAATCCCAAGGCTGACAGGCACATCACTGCAATCAGTCATCTCCTGTCAGCAACGTTGGCACTAGTTATGCAAAAGCTATGGAAGGGTTAAAATGCACCTAAAACATAGCTACTCTCCGACTCTGTGCCAGTCTTTCTAAGCTCGGTTGATATTGACATACTGTGAAGGATTAATCCAAATGAACAGCATGCCGTCATTTCTTAAAATCACTCCAAAAAAAACCAAAAATTAATCTGCCATCCACCTCCTGATATTAACATTCAGACAGACAAAAATCTGATCCCAAAGAAGGCATCTAGGAAGGAAAAGAAAAAGAACACACACACACACTCACACACACACACACACACACACACACACACACACAAAGGGGATAAAGAAACAAAAGATATCTGATTACCTTGAGTTTTCTTCCTTGGCTTCTGACGCAAGGGAACCTGCTGAAAATGCAGGAAGGAAAGAAAAGAGGAAATTTCTGATTGTGTTGTAACATTTGTAAAGAGACAAGGAGGGAGGAGGTGGCAGTGTTTATGAGCAGGGTGGATTCTAAAAAAAACTCTCCAAGCAGAGCTAAAAGAGAGCTACTAGCTGAGGCACAAAATGTGCTAATTAGAATCAATATACATTGAGCTGAACCTGAAAAAAAAAAAAGCACCAGAGCATTTATCACTAATGTTTCCTGTTTCCACCCACAGGCAGCTCTCTGACTACTTATGACAGCAGTGCTCACTGAAGTTTTACATTTTTGTGTGAGAAAGAAAAAATATATCTGTTTTCATATAAATAATGTTGATTATTTAAGTTAATCTGAAGGGTAACTGCCACAATCACAAAATATTACAGGTTCACATTGAACTATGTTTATGATCCTGCTACCACATAAGGTTACACTTAAGCCATTGAAGTAAATATCCAAGAAAAATAAATTCCATGTCTCTTTTGATGTGATCTCTATAACTTCCAACTTTCCTTGTCAAAAAATTCTTATTTGCAGCCAAATTGAAATGCCTTATTCTGTCTTTATCTCTGAATATTTCTCTCATGTTTTATGGAAGATAAATTAGGTACTATTCTGTACTGGTTCTTTAAATCTTCAAATCAGGCAGAATACAACATATCTGAAATATATGTTTTTTCACAAAACATTATAAACAATTCATATAAAATCAGCAGAAATATAACCCCCCCAAAACAATGCTTTCAAGTGGCCACATGTCTATATATCCACGGAGAGAATTTTAGCTTAAAGAAATTTCATTTTTTCGACTCCAATATCTAAGCTGAACTTTTTCAGGTTTAAATAATTTGCCTTTATATTAACAAGTAGAGAACTTTTAAAAAATTAAAAGAATACAATTTAAAAGTAGTTCTAAAAGTTAGTAGATAACTTGTGGCATTTTATGCTATTTTAGATGTATCTGGCTAGTATATTACATATCTAACTATTGATCTAATAACTTTTATGTATGGTTCTACTGCATTTTAAAGAGAAAATATGGCACACTATGGGAATGTGATAGGATTTTAATATCCAGAGGCCCAGAATTAATCCATGGCTATCATAATGTATAACCAAGTCACCCAGGGAAAGAACCTACTTATTACACTCTGAACCTACTTATTACAGTCAAAGTATCTACAAGAATCACAACAATATAGGTTTCGTACAGATTTGACAAGATTTATTTGTGAAAATGCTATAAAATGTATGCTTACATAATATGTAATATAATATTATCTACTAAATGAAAATATATTTTTAGGAAAAGTATAATGTGTGTTTTCTTCAGCAATTAGGATTAAATTGAATTATATTTCTTAGGGGATAGACAGCTTAGGAAATCCTTCACTGGTTCTTTATTTTATGAAAGTCCTTTATTTCACAAGGATGATTGATTAGTTTCTTAGAGTAAACATTTTATGCAAAAATAGATATATGTCAATCATGGCCTGCAACTTAAATCTAAGCACGTTCTCATAGAGAATCCTCTCCTCATCTGCACTTCACATTTACCACACTGTCTGCTTCTTGTCCTAAAATCCCCCCATTATGGTCTCCAGGCACCTTTGTCCCCACTTTCCCTGGGAATTGAGGCCAGGGTCTTTGCACTGAGCTATATTCCCAGCTCTTTGTTGCTTGGTTTGTTTTCATTTTGAGAGAGGATCTCACTAAGTCACTAATTTGTCTGGTCTGGGCTCAATCTTAAAATCCTTCTGCCTCAGCCTCCCTGATCCAGATATCTTTTTTGATATGCCAATTATCTGAGATGATTAAAAGCCAATTAGTACCTACTGACAAAATATTTTTGCCCAAATATGTATGTCATTTGAAGCTAAAACTTAGCTAAGAGTCAGGATTCAAGACAAAGAGCATGTAAAGTTAGTGGTAGGCAAGATTTGGGGAATCTGGGATCCAAGAATCCCCTCCAAGAAGCCATTAAAACAACTAAGAATCAGGAGAATTAAGGAGTTAAGGAAATCTCAGGGCTCAAGATGAAATTACATTACTTCAAACAAAAAGAGCAGCTTTACAAAGACCGAGCAATCCCTATAGAACAGCCACAGATTCTGCAAAGGAGATAGGAACCAACCATGGCTCCAAGGGTATCAGCAAGTCTCCTCCACCCATCTCCTGTGGGCTCCAAGTTGCATGGAGGACCCTCGAACTCCAACAGCTAACCTCAGATCTACTGCCAGAGACAGTCCAATGCAAAGTGTGGGCTCTGACTCAATTTTACTCAAGACCAGCCTTTGACTTATGGCTGGATTCACGTACCTGGGCTGGGATGAGAAGTGGGAATACAAAACAGGAACATAGAGGACCTCAAACAAGCTCTGAATGCAGCTTCTTTTCAAAAGGAGAGAGTACAGTTTAGACAGTGAAGCAACCCTGCTCTGATAACACTTCTTTAAAGCAAATTATTAACAGCTCAAACTGTTTCTCCTGGCCAGAAAGACTTCATGTTACAAAAATAACAAATTATAGGGAGTTTTGGTTTCACTTCATATATGTAAGTCTGAAACCTATGTTGGTTCATCTGAGAGAATGAAAACAATCTTCGAGAACTTTAGTGAGTCTAAGATACATCTGCCTTCTCACAACAGGAAGTGGATCTCATGTACTCGCCAGTTTCAAGACCTCAATGTGGTTTTTTCACTAGGTAGGTGAAAAAAAAAAAAAGCAAACAACCCGTTGAGCATTTTTATCACAGTGTTTTAAGAGAAGAGACATAAAGTTATCATCACAAATATTCAGACCTACAGTAGCATGATCTTTTCCCATGCTATTTTCTCTCAGTTTGGATGTACTATGTCAAAAATGAAGATTTATCCTTTTTAAAAAAATCTAAACTTTTCCCTAACTTGGAACTAAAATTTGGGCAAAAATTTTCATAGGAAATATATATTTCCTTTTAGTAAACAGTATATTTTTACCTTTTGAAAAGGTAGTTCAAAACTTTATTTGGCAACAGATCACTTAAATACATACAGAAAATACAAAAATGCCTCTGGTGTTGAATAATGGGGTTATCACTCATGCTACAGGTAATATGGACTTTAATCCATAGACTAGCTGTTCAGACTTCTGGGCATTATTAGCTCCATGGCATATTATAATTCAGAGAAAGATGGGCTGTCTGTTCATCATTACATCAAACTTCATAGTGATCCTTGTTTTCAGAAAAAAAATATATGCAATGACATACTGGTTAATGCACTCTCCGGTTGCGGGATTGGTATATTTCCCAAATTCTGTGGTGCAATTCTTCATATCATTAAGAGGTTAAGTACCTAAAGTTTAACAATCAAGTCACCAAAAAAAACAAAAAAATGCTGTCTCTTAGGGATGTCTCTCCACAAAGCATCACTACAAGCATCGTCTTTCTTAGAAAAAAGTAAATTCAACTTTTTTTGTTCCTCATTGAGTTTATTGGTACATTTTAGGTATACAGTACAATTACATTCATTATTGGGATCTTGAACCTTTACATGAAAGGTCTTGGTTCTCATTTTTCCTCCTTGACCCTGCCCTCCCTTCACCCCCTCCTCCCCCCTCATTTACAAACATTTTATTTCCATTTTTCCATTTTCTCGTATTATTTCTTTCCCTTATTACCTTTCCCCTACCCTTCCCACTTTCCCTACACCTTTATACCTTTCTTTCCTATTTCACATTGTCAATTATCTCATTAGGATCTTATGTACTATTATAGCTTTTCACACCAGAGAAACTATTTGGTATTTACACATGTGTGACTTATTTCATGTTGAATATATTCTCAATATGTATCCACTTTCCTATGAGTGAATCTAATATCTCATTCTTTATGGCTGAGTAATATTCCATTTTATAGAAAAACCACATCTTCTTTATCCTGTTTCCAACTGATGGGCAAATGGGCTGTTTCCAAGTTTTAGGTATTACAAACTGTGCCGCTATAAACATAGGTACACATACATCACTGTGATATGATTCTTTTAGTTCTTTTGGAAAGATACCCAGCAGAGGGATGGCTGGGTCAAATGGAACCTCTAGTCCCAGCTCTTTGAGGTATCTCCCTATTAATTTGCATAGTGGTTGCACCAGTCTGCACTCCCACCAACAATGGAGAAGGGTTCCTTTCTCCCCACAACCCTGCCAACATTTGTTATTGTTGGATTTCTTGATAGCAGCCATTCTTTGTGGGGTGAGGTGGAATCTCAGTGTTGTTTTCATCTGCATCTCTTGAATGACCAGTGATGTGGAACATTTTTTCATATATTTATTTACTGCTTTTACTTGTTTGCCTGAGAAATGTTTGCTCATTTAAGATGCCCATTTTTGAATTGGGTCTTTATATTTGGGGGCAGCTGGTTGTTTTGAGTTCTTTATATGTTCTAGATAATAGTCCTTTGTCTGAGGAGCAGCTGGTAAAAATTTTTTCCCCACATTGTAGGTTGCCTTTGAAATAAATATTGCAATTTATTTGTTTATTGATTCATGTGGTACATTCTTATTCACCCCAGTGATCCAACCTACAACCTGGGAGTAATTTCAGGTTGCCTTCTCCCATGCCACATATTTATTCAGCTACCACCCCTGTCCTGAGTGTCTCTTAATATTTATAGAATCCCTCTCCCTTCTCCATCTTCATAGCTGATACCATAGTCAGATTCCTAACAGCTCTCTACACACCAATGAGCATTTCACTCCTGGTCTCCCCATCTACAGGATACACCTGCAACAGTCCCTGAAACAGACCACTAAATCATTAAAACCTTTTAAGAGTAAGCCCATCATTGGCCAAGACTTCAATATAGAATTAATATTCTTGAGCATGTATGTCATGCCCTCAATACCTAGAACCTAGCCCAGTGTTTGACACATAAGATAAAAGATACCCATTTTTGGAAATAAAGTATTTGTAAATGGGGAGGGGAGGATGGGGTGAAGGGA